GGCCACAACACCGGCCATCGACGTCATCAACGCCGGCCTCATCAACGGCCACATCAACGGCCACATCAACGGCCACATCAACGGCCAAGAGCAGCGGCAATAGCAACGGCCAGCGCGACCATCGACAACAATAGCTCGCGCCCGTAGCCAGCAACAACAGCAGCTACGTCATCAACAGCGACAGCGGCAGCGCGCATCAGCAGCTCCCAAAGCCAACAACAACGGCGGGCATAAACAACAGCAGCAACAATAACAACAAGCGCAGCCGGCAGCAACAACAACAGCAGCCAGCGGAAATCACAACTGCCGCCAACGCTCATGGAGAGCTATAGCCGACGGCAAAAACAACCGCCGCCAACGCTCATGGAGAGCTCTAGCCAACGGCAATAACAACTGCCGTCAACGCTCATGGAGAGCCGCAGCCGTTAACAAAAACCCAAAACAAACCGGCAAACGGCCACAAATTATTCTCACTTTGTAAAATAAGTTTTGTAAATAATAATCTTAATATATAAAAATCTCCTGTCACTATGTTTGCTCGCTATGGACTCCTAAACCGCTTAACAGATTTCGTTCAAATTTGCAGGCAATATGCAGTTTGGTTCAACTTGAGAGATAGGATAGCTTAGATCTTTTTCATCATGGCAGTTTCGGCAGAACAAGGAGTAATCTTCTTTTTTTATGCACTCCTCCGAAATGGCTTTACCGATTCTCATGAAATTTAGTGTGCTTATGCAGTTTGGTTCAACTTGAGAGATAGGATAGCTAAAATCTTTTATATCATGGCAGTTTCGGCAGGACAAGGAGGAATCTTATTTTTTTATGCACTCCTCCGAAACGACTTTACCGATTATCATGAAATTTAGTGTGCTTATGCAGTTTGGTTCAACTTGAGAGATAGGATAGCTAAGATCTTTTATATCATGGCAGTTTCGGCAGGACAAGGAGGAATCTTATTTTTTTATGCACTCCTCCGAAACGGCTTTACCGATTCTCATGAAATTTGGTGTGCTTATTTAACCAAATCTTTATGCATTGCTCGGGCTATTTTGTCGATGAGTTTGCACAAAATTGATCGAGCGGTTCTTCACGTATTACATATTTTGTAATAAATTATTTCAATAAATCGCATTTCGCCAGATTGTCTTTTCTATTATTGTCATTTGTCATTCATAATTATTGTTTTGCGTTTATAAGTGGTGAGTCTCTAAATTCTCATTTTAAATACATTAAGAAGGTAAGATATTATTTTCAGTAAAGTGCCACCGAAAAGATCGAATCTCAACAACGTAAGCAGCAGAGCGGCACGACGCATACGTTTCGAAAGAGCTCATGAGTTGCCAGAACAAGTCAATACAAGAAATAGAGCTCAAAGAATTAGGACAGCAGAAGGTCGTGCACAAGAATCCCAGGAACAGCGTAGCGAACGTCTGCAGCAGAATATTACGAGAATCAGGGCGGCTCGAGCTCGAAACATAGATATAGTACGAGCACAAGAACGACAAAGGCAGCGGAACAGTCGCTCATTAGTTCGTACATCATTAGTTCGTCTTGCTTTTGAATATGCACCAGATATTAACTACTCTGCGCATTCAAAAATTGCTATCGGTGGAATGGACAAAGTATGTCAATGTTGTCAGGCGTTTAAATTTCGGAATAAAACTGCCGGTATGTGCTGCGCAGCAGGAAAAGTCGTGCTGCAACCTCTACCTGCTCCGCCAGAACCTTTATTATCCCTTCTTGCTGGAAATTCAAATGACTCAAAATTATTTTTGCGTAAAATACGCCAATTTAATTCTTGCTTCCAAATGACTTCATTTGGGGCCACTAAAATTTGTGATCTTGCATCCGATGGACGTAATTTTGAAACTACATTCAAAATACAAGGCCAGGTGTACCATAAAATTGGATCATTGATGCCAATGCCTGATGATAATCCGAAATTTCTTCAAATTTATTTTATGGGCAATTGTGAAGAGCGCGTAACGACTCGGTGCCAGTATAATTTTATTGAACAAGCAGAGGAAAGAGCGATAGTGATGTTACTAGAAAATTTTTTGGAATATCGGAATCAACTAATTCAATTAATAAAACGAGTTTCGCCACGATTGCAATATGACAACTATCAAATAGTCATAAAAGCCGATAAAGTACCATTAGGTGAACATGCTGGGAGATTCAACGCTCCAACTGTTGATGAGGTTGCTGTTATCATGGTTGGTGATCCAGTTGACAAAAGATCTATAAAAATTACACGGCGAGACAATACTATCAGTACGATTTCGGATCTTCACCGTTCATATGATGCACTACAATATCCATTGATATTTTGGCAAGGACAGAATGAATATCCGATTAGTGCTAAATTAAATGGAATTTGAAATAATTTATACTTTAAAATAATAAATATTCTGTTCAAGGTTTAATATTTTATTTACTGACAACTCTGTAATATGCTCATTGTTTCCTTATTGTTTCCTACAAATAATATACATGACAAAACAGTGTTTGCCGTGTCAACTATAATTAGTTCGGGCCCAGCAAAGCGGGTCGAGTCTGCTAGTCATATAATATAATAATAATTTTTGTATAATAATTAATCACTTCTCACTTCTTTGTAAACATAAGCTTTGTAAATAATCAGTTCTCTCGTTGTAATTTAACCTTTGTATATATAATCATTCCCTATTTCTTATAAAATAAGCGCTGTATATTTAATCAACCAAAACTTCGCAATATAGGCAGTTAATAGTGGTACAAAAATTTAAGCATAGACAAGAGTTTGTAGTTATCTTTGGTTCCCCGTTCTCACATCACTAGATCGCGCACACACACACACACACACCTACACGCGGAGAGCAAGAGAGTTATTCACCACGCACAAGTGGGGTGTTTTGTGTAGTCGCCGGGCACGGATGCGCCGCGGCGGTGCTCCCCGATGTACGCGTGGTGTGGGGGTTGTGGCAGGGCCCCTCACAAAATCGGATGCGGAGCGGCCGCGCGAAGCGGATGAGAGTGCTTACCAGCGGCGTCACCCCTGTGATGTCCATTGATGATCCAGGGAGTCCGATCTTCCAAACCGTGGATCTGGGCCAGCGGCGAGAGCGGTGAGAATATTTCCCGCGACAACCTTCATGGTTGTTGTTGCCTCCGTTCGCGAGCTTTCTCTCGTGGTAAATGTGGCTGCCCCCGCAGCAAATGCCAGTCACGTCAGCTGTTGGCGAGATCAGCTGTGATCGAGTGTTGAAAAGCCTCGAATAGTGCACAGGTCTGGCAACACCCCGCCGCCACCAGGTGGCGCTGTGATAACGACAGGTGGCGCTATCGTGCCAGCTGTCGCGTAGACAAAAGCTACCTGCTACGACGTGCATATGCGATCTGCAAATGCAAAATGTAGCATAGCTTTCAGGGCTGCTGCTCTTGATCCTTGGCAGGAGGTAGTGGAAAACGGGTGAAACCCAAACCCAGGGCTCGCACAGAAGAAAAGTAAGGTGGTAAAAGTCATGGAGCAGACCAATAGCCAACCCCACCGCTGTGCGGTACACCTTTTAAACGGGGCTCTGGCGACCGAGCAGGAGCGGTAAAACTCCCACCTGCTTAGCCATGGGGAAACCCCTGGCCAACGAGGGACCTCGCTAGTGCACATGCCACCCCTCCCCTCATAGTGCCATAGTGGCCGGCAGATGATCAAGCCTGGCAGCAGGCCCCAGCTGCACCCTAAAAAATCCAGGTAGCGACTGACCCAAAGTGGGCGGCTATCTGGTCTGCGTCTGAGCCATAGTGGCCGGCAGCTTTAACACCTGGCAGAAGGTATAAAATGCAGCCTAGCATTGGGCGACAATGCACATACTTGGAATGTCAGAGAAAAACTCAATTACTCCAGGTGGCAGCCACAATAGTGGAAATCCACCCGTGGGAATTCCCACGGTTAGGGGCAAGGATTCTGGAGGCCCTACCTAACACTCCAACACACCCTGTCGTGGCGGTGGCTGACTTGGCCGCCACGCTAGGTAATGCACCAAGCCGAAGGAAGAGAAGAACAAGGGAGACGCGGCGGCCTTTAGGAAGAGCAGCCTGTTGGCCCATTCCCCACCCCTCGTGCCACCCCCGGCGCCTGAGAGGAGTGCGGTCGGCGATCCCACCGACTCGGCCAAGAGGGGCAGAGACCCGGCCAGCCCGACGAGCGGTACAAAGGGTACGCTTCCAAAGAGAAGCAAAGCCGCCCAGGAGGGGGCCATCCCTGACGTCGAGGTTGAGCAGTAGATGACGCTCACTCGCACCGAGTGCGTCACCAAGCTGGGACAGCTGCTGGACGAACTCCACAGCCTGGTGCACGAGAAGCAGGTGCGCCACATCAACCTCGCAATGAAGGCGATGATTGCAGAGATGCGGAAGCTCAAAACCGGCATCGAGCAGTCAGCAGTGGAGCCCGAAAAACGAGCGAGCCGGAGAGCGTATGCGGCAGATGCTCCCAGATTCTACCAGCTGGGAAGCCGGTAGAAAGCAAGGCACAACAGACGGCGGTAGTGCTAAGGAAAGACCGGGCAGTTCAGACTGACCCGTGGAGAAGGGTAAGCCAGCAAGACGGCATAGCCGGGGCTAGTGAAGTCCCCAGGCAGAGGCGAGCCCCACCAGCCCAGGCCACAGCCCCCGCAGCGCCGAGAAACGGTGCCAGAAAGGCACGGCCTGATGCCCCAGCGATGCCTCGGGCACCGGAGCGTCGGCATGGGAGCGCAGGAAGGCCACCCGAACCCGAGCCTGTGACTGCCGGGAATTCGTGGAGCACAGTGGTCAAGAAAAACCAGCTCGCAGAGCACGCCCAGACGCGGTGGTAGTGGAAGCTCCAGGGAAGAGTTACAGCGAGATCCAGGCCCTGGTCACGAGAAGGGACGACAGACAGCTGACAGATCTCGGAGGGGGATGTCACCAAGGTGCGCCGGACAGCTAGGGGAAATCTTCTCCTCGAAGTAGCCAGAGGGAGCACAGAGAGCGCTGAGTCCATGAGGGACAGCATCTCCAAGGTCCTGGGCGACGCCGCAGAAGTGCGAGCCCTGACGGAGAAGTCGAAGGTCTGCGTCTTCGTGATACGTAACCTCGACGCGATCACGAAGGAGAGGGAGATTCGTACCGCCCTCGCTGAGCAGTACCAGCTAAGCGACGGAGCAGTGAGGATACGAAGCCTCCGCCCCGGGTACGGGGAATCTAAAACGGTGGTCTTCAGCCTGCCTTGCTCGATGGCAAAGGAAGTCAGACGGCGCGGCGAGGTCCGCAAAGGTTGGACCAGGTGCAGAGTGCGGGAGCGCGAAGGCCCTCCTCGCTGCTTCAGATGCTTGGAACTTGGGCACATCGCCATCAGGTGCAAGAGCCCGGTGGACAGGCGCGGCTACTGCATCAAGTGCGGCGAAGCAGGCCACAAGGCCGCTGCCTGCAAAAAGGATCCAGTGATCCTTCCAGCGAGCTCCGGAGAGGCCGACGTTCGACCCGGCAGCAAAAGCCGCCAGGCCGGAAAAGGCGGTAAAGACACTTCAAGGACCGTATTCAGCTCAACCTGAATCACTGTAGAGCGGCGCAGGACCTGCTTACGCAGACAGTGCGCGAGGTAGCGGCGGATGTGGCCATACTCAGCGAGCCATACAGGGTGAGCGTGGGAGGAGAGTGGGCCAAGGACCGCTCTGGCAAGGCGGCTCTTTGGCTCTGCGGAGGCAGGCGACTACGGATGTCCAATATCCTGGATGCGGACGGATTCGTGCGGGCGGAAGTTGGCGGCTACTGCGTCTATAGCTGCTACTTGGCGCCTAGTCTCCCACTAGAGGGGTTCAGTAGGATCCTGGATGACCTAAGCTCTGACCTTCGTGGGAGGCACAAAGTTATAGTCGGAGGAGACTTCAACGCCTGGGCCCAGGAATGGGGATCCGTCTCGACCAACGCCAGAGGACGCGCGTTTGCATCGACAGACGTCGTCCTCCTTAACGTCGGTGAGCGGCATACGTTCGTCAGAGCAGGAGCAGCCTCCATCATCGACCTTACGTATGTGAGCGGAGCAATTTCCCAAACCGCTAGATGGGGAATTTGCGACGCATACACCGGGAGCGACCATGAGGCTATCATATGCTCAGTGGGAGGTCCCGCGGAAGATACCCGTGCAGCACCGCGGCCCAGCAAAGCCTACCGGCCAGACACGCTGTGCACGCAGGCGTTCACAAACGCGCTGGACGGCATGGCGGCCGAAGTGACGGGTGGAGCCAACGAAATTGCGAACCGCATCGCAGCAACCCTGGAGCACGCCTCCGACCAGAGTATGCGCCAGAGAGGCTCGTTTCGAGGAAACCACAGACCAGTGTTCTGGTGGAGCGACGCGATCGCCGACCTCAGGGCCACCTGCCTTCGAGCCCGTAGGCAGCTGACTCGTGCACGCGGAACCTCACGAGTCGCTGAGCGCAGCGAGGTCTACAGGACGGCGAGAAAGGCCCTCAAGACGGCCATAAGGGACGCCAAGAGGAACCGTTTCCTGCAACTCTGCGACGAGGCGGAGGACGACCCCTGGGGCGGAGCGTACAGGATGGTGGTCAAAGGGCTGAGAGCCGGCAGCTCTGCTCCATCGGACCCCGTAGCCCTAGAAGGCATAGTGCGAGCGCTTTTCCCGACAGGATCTCCCGTGATTGTCGAGCCCCAGTGCAGAGCACCACCCCAACGATGCCTGCGAAGTGTCGGAAGAGGAGGTGATCCGGATGGGTAAGAGCGTGCCCCCAAGGAAGGCGTCGGGGCCGGACGCTGTGCCCAACAGGGCACTGAAGCTGTCCATCGCCTTACACCCGAGGGAGTTCGCAACCCTGTACTCCAAGTGCCTGGAGGAGGGGACCTTCCCAGAAAGATGGAAGAGGCAGAAGCTGCTGCTACTCGCCAAGCCGGGCAAGCCCCCGGGGAGCCATCCTCCTATAGGCCCATTTGCCTCACGGACACCACTGGTAAGGTCTTCGAGCGGATCATATCCGTCAGATTGACTGCGGCCATCGAGGAGGCCGGAGGTCTCTCCCCAAACCAGTTTGGGTTCAGGAAAGGGAGGTCAACGCTGGACGCCATCGAGACGGTGACGGGAATAGCCAAATCGGCCATCGCCGGTAAGAGGTGGAAAAGCGGCTCCAAATGTTATTGTCTAGTGGTAACGCTAGACATACGAAACGCCTTCAACACCGCAAACTGGAACCGAACGCTGGAGTCCCTCGCCGCCCTGAATATTCCAGGGTACCTCATGAGGATAGCAAGGAGCTATTTCAGTGAGAGAGTGCTCACTGTGGCAACGGACTTGGGCTCCAGAGCATACGAAGTCTCCGCCGGAGTCCCTCAGGGCTCCGTGCTGGGACCCCTGCTCTGGAATACCATGTACGACGGCGTCCTGCGGCTCCCAATGCCCAGTGGCACGACCGTTGTGGGGTTCGCTGACGACGTGGCGGTGGTCGTAGTCGCTAAGCAGCGCACCGCAGCAGAAGCAGTGGCGAACGATGCGATCACATCGATCGAATCGTGGCTCGCGAGAGCGGGCCTGGAGCTAGCGGCACAAAAGACGGAGGCAGTCCTTATATCGAGTCGGAAGACCGTGGAAACGGCCGAGATCCGAGTTGGCGGAGCCGTGATCAGATCGCAGAGGGCAATAAAATACCTCGGCGTTCTGATCGACACCCGGCTATCGTTCAAGGAGCACTTGAAGTACGCCCAGAAGAAGGCCAGCAAGACGGCAGGAAGCCTCTCGCGGATACTCCTCAACACCAGAGGACCTAAGCAGACCATCAGGAAGCTGCTGACTAGCGTCGCAACCTCCCAGATGCTGTACGCGGCACCGGTGTGAGCTGCAGCCGCTGAGACCAAATCCTACATGCGGGGGCGCGGAGTCTGCATACAGACTATGCGCTGTCCGAGTGGCAAGCGCATTCAGGACGGTCTCGGACGACGCCGCGCTAGTGATAGCGGGCTCGGTCCCTCTGAGGGAGTTGGTCCGCGAGAAGGTCGAGCTGCGCAACGCGCTCCGCGGGCACCTTGGACTTGATCGCGCCGCGAAGTCCGAGGCAAAAATGGCGGCTAGACGAACGAGCTACAGGAGCTGGCAAACCAGATGGGATGCCTCGTCCAAAGGGAGATGGACCCACAGCCTGATCCCCAATATTGAGGTCTGGATGGAGAGGACGCACGGGCAGGTGGATTTCTACCTGACCCAGCTGCTGAGCGGTCATGGCTGCTTCCGTGGCTATCTCAAGAGGCTCGGCCACGAGAACGAAGATGGCTGTCCGGAGTGCGGATCCGGCATTCAAGAAGATGCGCGCCACGTCGTCTTCGAGTGCCGCCGGTTCGCCGAAGAAAGGGCAGAGCTGGAGGCGATAGCAGGAGCGGAGATCTGCGTGGGCACGCTGGTGCCGCTGATGCTGGAGAGCCCAAGGACGTGGGAAGCGACGGCGGAATTCGCGGCGAAGGTGTTGAGGACACTTAGGCGTCTGGAGAGGGACAGAAACGAGCGGATGGACTAAGCGGCCTGCCACTGTGCGAAGCAATGCTTTGCGGCCGTACCGCACAGTGAGGGCCATGGTTTCGTCCGCAAGAGAGATAAAGATATAGCATCCATCCTTTATGTTATTGTATGTTATTATTTTAGTTGTAAATAATAAATAAAAAACTGAATACAAAAACCACGCACAAGTGGCCACGGAGTCAGCGCAGCACAGGAGCGAGGGAGAGCGAGAAAACGATCGAGCGCAAAACAACCCCCGAAAATTGGCACGCCCCAACGAGAGAGATCGAGAGGGAAGCCGATGCACCGCAATGCAAGAGCAATGGAAAATTTCCAGCGCGGCCGAAATTTGGCAAAACCGCATGGCATTTTTTCACTTGGGCGGAGGTGACGAAAACGTGTAGACGTGCGAGTGGTCGACGAAGTTTCAAGTTCAAGTTCACAGTGACAAACGGGACTTTGTCTGCGCGACGGCAAACGGCAAAAAGAAAAATAAGAACCAGATTGACAGTGACAATTATTCTTCCCTCACCCGAGACCAGCCAGGAGGTGGTGCTCGACGGAGTGCTAGTGACGTCAACAAGTGGAGTGGCGGCCAATTAGGTGGCCAAGGAGGCACCTGTGAAGGCAGGCGAAGACGTGGCGGACCATCAGCCACGTGCGAGTGTGTGTGTGCGGACAACGGAGACGGGTGAGTGATTAGGGTGAACCGCATTCTGGCCAGCGAGACTCTCGTGCATATAGAAATTTCTCGACGGCCAAGATGCGGATTCACTAGAGTAGGCTAGAAATATAAAACCCCAGAATTTAACCTCAAACACCTTCCACGAAAACTTTGTAAATTTCCCCGAAATGAAAACTAAAAATCCGAGAATACAAATGAAAAAAACTGAAATTTATTAAATACAACTGAAAACCAAATTTATTAAACACAAATGAAAACTAGAATTTATTTACAATAAACCCGAATATATATATGCATGGCGATTGAAAAACTAAACCCCTCGCTGTCGCCATGTTATTTTCCCTGACCTACGCCAACTTTTGTCAAACGAGACATGCAGAGAAAAAGGGGTGGACCAAACTTTCGCTAAAAACTTCATTGAAATTTATAAATTAAAATATTTCGCTCCTCGCCGTTTCTCCTCATGGTAAAAGTCAGTTGGAAATTTAATAAGGAAATATTTTATTACAAAGTCGAAGTCCGGCGAAAAGGGTGGACCATATCTTCGCGGCAAAGGTATTACAGCGAATTAAATTAAATATTTCTCCGGATATTTAACGCAGTGTTGTGGCCACGCGTTTGCGGTGAGAGGAGTTCAGGCATAGTTTTTGCGGGGAACGGCTGAGTTTTCGCCTACACTGGGAGAAATGAAACTCAAAACTTTAATTATAAAAATTTAAAGTAAATTTTATTTAAATATATTTTGCTTTCTCGCGGAGAGTCTAACTCCTGACTGAAATAAACGCAGAGAAATTTAAAATGAGGGAAATTAAATAAATTCAAGAATAGCTCGCGTAAATATAATTTTCGGCTCAAATCGAGTCCAGCTTGCGGGGAACGATCCAAAATCACGATGGCCATGACTCACGTAGAATATTTTCCCAAAATGCCTAGATTTTAGGCCATAAACTCTGCCCTAGGAAGCGCTGGTTCCCAAAATGGACCCCTCTCTCGGTCATCCCATAGCGTCTGCTATGGGCCCGACCCAAAGCGCGATCTGGCCGATTATTTCGCTCTATTGCAGAGACCGGACAAGTCATTTCTCTGGCTTCGTATCCCGGTAACCGACAACCACCATCTCACGTCAGTTTACCGCGCGTCAAAACACTTTTAAGATGGCACATCTTCTTAATATATAAAAATCTCCTGTCACTATGTTTGTTCGCTATGGACTCCTAAACCGCTTAACAGATTTCTATCAAATTTGCAGGCAATATGCAGTTTGGTTCAACTTGAGAGATAGGATAGCTTAGATCTTTTACATCATGGCAGTTTCGGCAGGACAAGGAGGAATCTTATTTTTTTATGCACTCCTCCGAAACGGCTTTACCGATTCTCATGAAATTTAGTGTGCTTATGCAGTTTGGTTCAACTTGAGAGATAGGATAGGTAAGATCTTTTACATCATGGCAGTTTCGGCAGGACAAGGATGAATCTTATTATACCCTTGCAGGGTATTATAATTTCAGTCGAAGTTTGCAACGCGTGAAGGAGACGTTTCCGACCCTATAAGTTATATATTCTTGATCAGCATACAGCCGAGTCGATCTAGCCATGTCGTCTGTCCGTCTGTCTGTCTGTCCGTCTGTCCGTCTGTTGTCTGTCCGTCTGTCCGTCTGTCTGTCTGTCTGTTTCTACGCAAACTAGTCCTCAGTTTTAAAGCTATCTGAATGAAACTTTGCATATAGTCTTCTATATGCTCTCACTGCTATATATGTCGGAACGGGCCGGATCGGACGACTATATCATATAGCTGCCATACAAATGTTTGATAAATTTTTAGAAAAAAGTATAACTTGGCTGTTTTTCAATATTTTTGCATCATTTTTGAGATATAGCCATTTTATATTATTCCAGAATTTTGGTAAAAATTTTATGAAAATCGGACGACTATATGATATAGCTGCCATAGGAACGATCGAGAAATTAATAGAAATAAAATTATAGCTTCGTTGTTTTCAACGCATTTTTATTTACTCTGAGATATACGTTTTTTTATTATTCTAGAATTTTGGTATAAATTTCATAAAGATCAACTATATCTTATAGCTGCCATAGAAGCGATCGGTAAATGTATAAAATATATAAAGCTGAGAATGTAAAACTGTAACTGTCAAACTGTAAACATAATAAGTATAGGTAAAATGTAATGAAACTCTGTTTTGTGAGTGTTTTCAGCATTTAAATCTTATAAAATAAACATCAAAACCAATCTGCAGGGTTAAAACTTGGCGTGCCGAAGTTAGCTTCCTTTCTTGTTTTTTTATTCACTCCTCCGAAACGGCTTCATCGATTCTCATGAAATTTAGTGTGCTTATGCAGTTTGGTTCAACTTGAGAGATAGGATAGGTAAGATCTTTTAAATCATGGCAGTTTCGGCAGGACAAGGAGGAATCTTATTTTTGTATTCACTCCTCCGAAACGGCTTCACCGATTCTCATGAAATTTAGTGTGCGTATGCAGTTCGGTTCAACTTGAGAGATAGGATAGGTAAGATCTTTTAAATCATGGCAGT